TTTTGGATATATGTAGTTTTATTTTTTAAGGAGCAGGAAAAAAGCAGGAGAAGGGATATAGAGAGGCATGTGACAGTGTGGGATCCAAACCCATTGGGATTTAATTTCATTGTTGGTCCTCCCAAGACACCATGGTCCCTCTTCCTCTCTTTCAATAGTTATTATCATTCATAGGGAAAAATATCAATGCGGTAACTAAATTTCATATTTACGTACGAAGAGGTATCTAAATATGTACTATAAGTACAAATTATATGTACCCCTTACTCTATGTGGTTAAGTAAGTATATATTATTGAAAAGCATGCATTAAATTAATTACCTCTAGTTTATGATAACTTTTTTTATTCATTCTTCGAACAGATCGTTTATATAATTCAGTTAAGGTATTTACTATTTAGATTTTGACTAGTCACAAGACCAGCAGCCACTATGTAAACTCGAAAGTGAACAAAAATGTATACACCAACAAAACGATATCACCAGACTAGAATCAAGATCTATTAGACTTAGTCTATTAGACTAATCGATCACGCGGTTTTCTTTTCTATGTAACTAGATCTCTTGAGCCTAAAATAGACTAATCACGCGATTTTCGACTACCATGGAAAGTTTTTAATAGATATATTTAGGTAGCCGGATTTTTGAGGACCTAAGGCTAGACAAATTGTCATAATTCACAACTGTCATGTGATACATACAAAAGATCAATCTAATTGTCTTGACCAACAAACAAAATTATTTAATTACAAACAATTGGTTATAAAATATCTATTTGAGAACGCAGATTGTAACAAATGCATACAAAAAATTCCAAAAAACTGAGTAAGATTCGCCTTAACTCTTGTCTGCAAGTGACGGTATATGTTTACAATACTTTTGACCATGTTCTGTATAGTTATATGCTTATTGACAATGGGCATTTATTAGATCTTTGTTTCTGGTCGTAGAAGGTTAGGGACAAAGAACATGTTAAGTCTCACGATCTCGAGCTTCCCATCTTTGTTGATTTGTGATGTTCCTCTTCCTAATCCATTGCGCCGGACATAAAATGAAGATTGACGATAAATAATACGTAGTCCCTTTCTTAATAGCTGATGTTTTAGAACAAATATTTGCTTTACTATTTATGTTTTGTACTTTTAATAAAAATATTCGTATACCGTTTTATTTTATTTTGTTCTTATCAATTTGAGTTAAAATAAATAAAGCAAGTAACTTTTAATCATAGAATAAGAGTATACTAGGGTTTTTTAAATATGTGTACAAAGTAATTTTAATTATGGATTCACATTGTGTACATAACATGAATGGTCCATAAACCCTAAAACAAGATAATTAACGCCAGTTACTTATTGCACACGTAACTCTAAACTCTGCAATTCTACAAAGTTAAATCTTTGAACTCAAGTTGAATCTTGTGAGTTACCTCACAAATCTATCACATCAAGCAACAAGTGAATCAGAATCATGGTTCTCTAATCGACCACAAAAACCGACAGAGGGAGAGAGAGAAAGAGAGAGATTGCGGTCGTTGTCAGGGAGAGAGGCTAGCATGTTCTGCGAACGAGATTTGTTGGGAAATTTTCAGTGAAAAGGAGAAGAGGATTAGAGAGAAATTACGAATCTTTTGAAGGGACAATTTCAGCTTACGGACTGATAATGACATGTCTCTCGTCTCGACCAAGCACATGAAAGCCCCATGTTACTCTTGCCTCCTTCTTCCCTCAAAACTGTCCTCTTTTGTACAACTTTCCGTTTTTACAGTATGAAATGCAACTTCTTTAATGCAGATTTTACTAGACTTGAAACTTGTCTGCTTACTTTAGGAAATTCTTGAAACCCTAATTATCTACTTTCACGGCGAGAAATCAGAATCGATAAACCCTTGTCCTGTCCTGTTTGTACAACTCTGTCTCTTCTTTAAAAAAAAACACATAGTAGCTTTGTTCTAACACACTCTTTATAGCTGATTCCTCATATCCAAAAATTATAAATTTTTGGATCTTGAAATTTATTCGGTAAACTATTTGAAGCCAAGCTTCAGATAACTAAACAACTCTGTTCAAGAAATAGTTGTAGTGCATATTTTCTTAAAAATTATGTCGAATCAAATCTTAAAAAACATCAAAAAGTTCCATATATGTTTCGTGTAGGAAGTGATTGAATCTAATTTCTATATTCACGTGAAAAAAGAATCCATGAGCTCTGTTTCAAAGTCAAGAAAAATATAGGTGGCGAGATCTGAAGTGAAATGTAAGGTCTTTTCATCACATGGGATGCAGGAAAATTGGACCCAAGAAATTATTAGATCAGATTGGCTAATTTTTTTCTTGTACGATGATCAACAGTTGAATTTCAAGAGGGCAACGTCAAGGAAAAAAAAGAAAGAGAAAACAGAGTGGCACCTACAGAAAACGATCGAGACGGCAAAAAACAAAGATAGGACTAATAAGCTTTCTTTAGCCTCCGATTAATTCAACTGCAAAATGGGGATTGAGGTAGGGTTTTGACTTTTGAAGTCGTATTCATATACTTAATTTGGCATGTGATGAGATTTTTAATGAGGCTTAATTGGTTCTTACAGGGCCCCCTCCTTCACTTGCAAACCTTGAATCTTTTTCATATTTCGGGCAGAACAAAACGTTAAATTGGAGGTTAATTGTTTGACATGGAAAAATGTATAATATGCAATGAATGTAAGAAAATATCTATTTAGTATTTATTTTGTTTTTTTTTAATAAATTGAATTTTCTCATGAAGAAAACAAAAACATATTTTATTTTTCGGTAAGAAAAACAAATACATATTTTAACTCTATAGTTATAGAATAACATTATACAACGTAACTCAATAATAAATCAGACGTACGATTTAAAAATGCTAGTTGAACCGGACTAACCGGCAGGTTTTAACGTCCATAGTACAACAAACAAGTCAACAACTAACGGATACAGAGAAAACAACAACTGTATCCGAAAAAAAAATAACAACAAAGAAAATTATATAAAGGAAAAACAAAGACGTAACGTAAGCAAATAGAAAAGACGTTTAAGAAAGGGAAAATGGCGTACGCAAAAAAAAAACGGTGCCAGCTTCCCCACGCGCATCTGTCCCTAAGCCACCATAGTTATAGAGCGCGTGGCTTTTAATCTATGGGCTTTTGGGCTTCGAATCCTATTTTTACCCCAATTATGTTTGGGCCAATAAAGTGTTTGTTATTAATTAATGTTTAAAAATACATTTTAATAATTTATATGAAGAGAAAAGAAAAAACAAATTTTCTCATTACTACTATCGCAAGGAATAAAATAGTCACATAAATTTTCTTTGAGAAATATGGAAATAAGTACCAACCAGAATAATATAAGTTCAAATTCTGCCGTTTCACTAGAATCTGAACGAAATGTTTGGTGTCCAGAATTAAATGACACAAATGTCTATATTAGGTATTATTTTGGTGCAAGACACAAAATGTATTAACATGCAATGAATCATGTACGCTCTATATATGTATATTCCTCTCATTGAAACAATTTACAATTATTTCCAGGGGAAATTAGCTAACAATCTAAAAAAATGGAAATGTTGTTGTACTACTTCATCGAATCTGAGATGTGACTGTGAAGAACAAAGATTCATGACATGGTATGGTTAAGCCGCCCATAGGATGATCATAACCAAACTCTTCCTCAGATTTACTCAACAGTTGTTGAAACAGAGGCTGGTTTAAGTATGAAACCGGCACCACATATCTCTTCTTCTTCTGATCATTCTCTCCTACATAAACCGCCATGAATCCTCTTGGTGTCGACGATGATTCCCTTCGCATAATTTGTTTAGCACCCAAGAAACTCCTCAAAAAAGCCATCTTTTTGTTATCTTGTCCTGAAGCTTGATGATGAGTTTAAGCTTTAAATATTTCTTATTCTTGGAGAAAGCTTTGAGATTTTAAAATTGAATCTTCTTTTAGTTTGTGAATCAAAAGGGTTTTCAGTTACTTGTTATATAAACGAACGTATGAAAGAAATTATCAGAAATTAAGTATTTTTTGTTCTTTCATTACAGAGCACATGGCTTTGGGTTGTAGATACTAAACCAAGAACAAATCAATAAATGGTGTCTGAGAAGTTAGTGTCTAATGATGTCCTACATGATAAGGCTTATTTGTCTCAAAGACATCACATGCCAAATCTCTCTGTAGATTATGTAGGGACCTGAAGTTGTGTACCTAATGAACCGTAGGTCTCTATCACTGATTAAGTCATAACTTCTTCTCAATGATATTCAAAAGACAGGACCACATGATTTGATTATATACTGACAAAGTCACAAAACCCTTCAAAATTTCTGTGGCAAGAATTGAAAATTTGACTAGTTATAGCTATAGTGTCTATCTAACAAACAAGTGGTCATATTGATTTCTGTCTTCACATCAGAAATCATGAAGATTGATCACTCTAGGGCCCTTACTTATCATGCCGTGGTCCGGCAAAGCCATGTGCTTGTTGGTGTAAATTTATGAGCTGAAACTTTCTAAACCAATAAAAGGTTATCTTCACGTAATGTTCTTATCTATATATACTCATCACTGACTTCTTTAAGCTCTGCAAGTTCTCACATTTTCCAAGAAAGCATTTAACTTACAATTAAAGAACACACACAAGACAATCCATGGCGATCAGAATCCCTCGTGTGCTACAATCATCGAAGCAGATTCTCCGACAAGCGAAACTGTTGTCATCTTCTTCCTCTAGCTCTCTTGATGTTCCAAAAGGCTACTTAGCGGTTTACGTAGGAGAACAAAAGATGAAGAGATTTGTAGTTCCGGTTTCGTACTTAAACCAGCCTTCATTTCAAGATCTATTAAGAAAGGCAGAGGAAAAGTTTGGATTTGATCATCCAATGGGTGGCCTCACAATCCCTTGCAGTGAAGAAATTTTTATTGAGCTTGCTTCTCGCTTCAACTAATCATGACTCACTCAAATAACCTTTTTTGTCAATGATTTTGTACATTTGTTTCCCAACTAGTTTTCTTCAAGAGATGAGATGACTTAGAAACATCTCTCCTTGAAAGTGAAACAGAGACTTGTAACACTCTTTTTCCTCACTTACAGTGAGTTGGACTCAAATCTAATCAAAATCACATGATTCATCATCTTGAAAATCTTAATCTCAGTTTCCAGACAAACTCACCGAGGATACAACTCAGTGTTGGAATTATAATTTGAAGTTTTTGCATTATGTCCTAAAGAAGAAGAACTATCTGATACCGCATTGCTGGGTGAGAAAAATGCAGGTTTTGATGGTTCTGAAAGAGCAGTAGTATGTCCATCTAACATCAGAAGAACAGAAGCCATGCTTGGCCTCTCTGCAACTTTTTCTTGGACACAAAGAAGACCAATGTTTATGCATCTCAAGATCATATTCGATGAATAACTTGACATGGTCACCAAAATCTTGTCCACAAGATTCAAAGCAACGCCTTCCTTCCAATTTCTCCAAGCCTTTACCAAAACATTAGAACTCAGTGATGTGAATAAAAGTCACTGATCGAAGCTAATGGTTTTGGCATATAATATACTTACAAAGCTAAGGAGATCCTCTATGCTGTCCTCATTGCTGAAACAGCTGTTTTTCTTACCACTGATGATCTCAAGAACCAAAACTCCGAAACTGTAAACATCTGTCTTAAACGAGAACTGGCCGTGTGTTACATACTCTGGAGCCATGTATCCACTGTGTAAACCAAATCACTGATCACAATCGAGGTTAATGAGTAAAAGATGATTGTTAGTTTTTGCTACTTACAAAGTCCCAACGATCCTATTTGTGTAGCGTTGAGTTGTGTGGTCCATATCGAAAAGCCTAGCCATTCCAAAATCAGAGATTTTTGGGGTCATTTCCTCGTCTAATAATATGTTACTAGCTTTAAGATCACGGTGTATAATCCGCAGACGAGAATCTTGATGAAGATAAAGAAGTCCTCGAGCTACACCTCCAATGATTTTGTATCTAATATCCCACTCCAATTGCTTGCCCTGGATCGGGTCTATACAAACACTCAAACACTTGAGAACATATCATCCACACACAAAAAACAGTTGAATGGTTTCCAAGAACACGTTGAACGTGAAGAAAGTAGTACCGAAGATGAACTTGTCGAGACTAGTGTGTGGGAGGAACTCATAGACAAGAAGCCTTTCAGTTCCTTCTATTGAGTAACCTAAGAGCTTCACGAGATTACGATGTTGAAGCTTAGCCACCAACAAGAACTCGTTCTTGAATTCGGTTTCACCTTGTTGTGCATTTTTCGACAACCTTTTCACCGCTATTTTTTGTCCATCAGAAAGCACACCCTAATGATAATATACGAGAATGTTATGATAAATCGCTATAACAGCTGGTTCTTCTTAAGTTTGTAAGGTTACCTTATAAACTGCTCCGAATCCACCTTCTCCAAGTTTATTTTCTAGTGAAAAATGACTTGTTGCATCTTGTAATACACTGAAATTAAATCTCATTGAATCCGTGCTAATATTTTCATCTGTATGTAAAGAAATGAGATAAACCATGCATTGATAAAATGAGTTAGAAATCACGGCAAATATCAAAGGAACATTGAAACAGATGATATAAACAGAGGAAAAAACATGTAAAACAGAACACTCGAAAAATCTCCTTCCATGTCCGAGTTTGATAGCTTACTTTCATGTCTGTGTTCCGAATTTTTGTTCTTCTTCTTCCTTCTCGGCCTTAGGAAAACGACTAAGAATACTATAAGTAAGACAACAATAGCAACTGAAGCAGCAGCAAAGATCAAAGCTTTAGGAGGTACACCTCTGTTTTTATCCCCTGAACAAAAAAAATCCACACCTAAAATGTTTAATACTGTAACAAAACTCAAATATTCTCATTGGGAAACTAAAACATGTTCTACAGTCTGATTTAAAGCCTAGTATTCAAAACTTTCAAATACATAAGAAGTAGCAAACCTACCTTGCACAACAGTTCTCGTCTCGTTCTTTGGAGGCCGTGATGGCGTCGCAGGCACTGAGCTTGGCTCATCAGTGTCCACTGGATCATAGAATCTCCAGGTAGCATAAGCCACAATACAGCTAGGAGACAACACATAACTACCCATTTTCAAATCACAACAGCTTGGGATCTTTGCAATACCCTGAGACAAACAATAGGAACAATCCTCTTCCGAAATATCCGGTGTGCACTGAACCAGACTGTACAATGTCTGAAATGACGGCCCGCTCGTTTCGCCGACAACAAAATTCTTCTTGCTACGACCAATAACAGAGGCTCTGTTTTTAAGCCCTTCGAGTAAACCCCTTAATGATTTCTCCCAAGCATCGCGATCTCCGGTGAAGTTTCTTGTCCCGGTTATGCTTGTGTGAGGGAAAATCTCCAATCTATTGAAGATCGTCCGGTTTGAGTACCGAAACGTGCATTTGTCATACCAAATAATCGCCTCTTTCTGAACCGGACACAACGTGACAAGTCTTTTTCCAGCCATTGCGATGCAATTGATGCAATCTTCAGGTTTGACATCGCCTCTGCACTGTGAGATTGAGTTGACTTTTTCGTCGGAGTCTCCGACTGAAATGTTGTAAAATCCGTTATCGTTACTTTGGAGAGATGAGAAAGAGGAGATGAGACGGTCGAGGTTGACGGCGTAAGGGGTGTTAACGGTGAAGTTGCCTGTGACGTTTGAGCATATTTGGTTTAACGGAACAGGTTGCGACTTAACGGTGAAGCATTGGATTTGGAATAACAGTGAGATCAGAGGAAGAAGAAGAGACAACATTTGCGTTATTTCTGTTGATCATTGTCAAAATTGTTGGAACGGGAATTAACACGCCATTAGGCGGCATTGACCTTTGACTCTGTTCATCTTTTGAAATTTTTGTTTATTGTAAGCTAGGCTGTTTTGAAAGGCGACAATAATTCATAGAATTATGAGTTTATTTATCGATTGATTTTATACGCTCGTGTCAATGTCATGGAACGGATGGCGAGTATAATTTTATGTTGTAATACACAACTTGTTCTGTTTCTTGTCAACAAATAAAAACTACTTGTTAATCATCATGTTGTGAAATGTTGAAGGAGAAAAGATGGGGAAATATCAGACAAGAAAGGTAATTTACATTTGCTTTCTCTTCTATGTAAGTAATTACACTGGGTTCTAAATATCTTGTAAATCTAATGACCTACAAAAATTGTTACATATATGTGATCCTTGTGAATTGGAACTAATGAAGCTGAGAAGTGACAGTGATAAAAGTATCTTCAGGACAAGGGATGGTCAAGCCGCCCATTGGATGATCAAACCCAAACTCTTGTTCGGATTTACTCAACAAAGCTTGAAATGAAGGCTGGTTCAAATATGAGACTGGCACTATGTATCTTTTCATCTGGCTTTCTCCAACGTACACTGCAAGAAACCCCTTTGGTGTTGAAGCCGTCATTGATCGGCCTTGAAAGATCTTCTTTGCACTCATAAGACCTCGCACCACGCCCATTTTTTTTTTGTTCTGTTTATATATGGATCTTGGGGAAAAGATTAGGCTTAGAGTTCTCCTTTAGCTTATTAGGTTAGATGAAGAAGTTGTTCTGCTTTGGATATGAAAACAATGCAATATATATACAACCAATTTCCTTCGGGTGATAGAAACCGTGGGCTTCTTATACAAGAGTGGGACATACAGAAGAAGAATTCACATGGCTCTGTCTTGCAGGTGCTAAACTGATAATTGAATATGGATTATTGTATCTGAAAAGCATTCATGGCACTAGAAGACTAACAACAACTTCAAACGCACTTCACATGAGATTGTCGATGACACACATACATGTACTAGATGATGTACGTGGGACCTTATGTTATGTACCTACACAACACCTGAAAAGTCTAAGTCGCTGAGTCAAGTAGCCAAGTGGCTACACATAATTCATCTGACCAACCCTCCGTATAAGCTGTGAGAGCATTGTCCTCCAAGTTGTTGAGAAGACAGAGGGCCCGCCGTTTTCAGGCTTTTAACAACACCGTCGTTCTTCTCTCTGTTGCACCAACTTTATGGGATTAGCGATCCCGTTAGTAGCTGCAACCAACTAAACAACACGATGTTTCTCCCTTTCGCACCAAAACTGCATGGCGTTCAAGGTATTAGGGAGTTTATACAAGGATCCTCTCTGTAATTGGAAGAAGAAATAAGCGAATGGGAAAATTGCGAGATTGACAGCTCAATAGCGTTTCTTCTTATGTGATTGGGCCTTAATTCAAAACTTATCAGCAAAAAGCCCAATTATACAATTTAAACCCAAATTTAAGCCCAATTGATTGTGTCGCGTGACTCGTGAATTAACAAAAAAAAAATTCAAAACTATTACTTACACGCAATGTACATGTAACATTTTTTTATGGATCCCGGCCCACGCAAACCACCATTTGCAGTCTCATACCTTGTTTGAAAAATCGCTAGGTATGGGCCTAGCGATTAATCAGAAAATCGGATTAAAATCGGGGATTAGTTTTAGGATTATTTTAATATTTTAAAAATATATTAATCAAATAATGTTTTCAAAATTGCAGTAAACACATAAAACTGTATTTTTGAGATAAAATTTTATGATTTTTATTACAAATTTATGATTTTTATTAAAATTTGAACATAAGTTATTGTAAAACATCACAAACTCCCAATTTAAGTGATTGAATAACAAAAATAAAAAGTGTTTTATACTTGCAATCTAAAAATAATCGAGATATGTAAAATTAGGCGGGGAGTAATCGGATTAGGCGGGAAGTAATCGGATTAGGCGGAAAATAATCGGGTAACTGATTTTTTTAGGGGATTAGTCATTAATCGAGGCGGATAGGGTGGGCCTAGCGATTAAGCGGAAAGTAATCGGACCTAGGCGGGGATTTTTAGAACAAGGGTCTCATATAAGAAAAGTTGGATCGAAAGTGTGTATTTCAATATTTAACAAAACAAAAGGTAATTATCTACTATATCTAGTGAAAGCTACTTGGAGTGGAACAAAGTTGTCTGGTCTCTCAAGATCTCCTTTCCTAGCTCTTCTTTTGTAAAGATGGCATAGTCACTTTTCGTAGTTTGTACCAGAAAAGGGAAATGTTAGGGATTCTGTCCTTTTACATCTTGTTTTCTTGTTAAGATTATTATGAATCTATCCTACATTGAACAAAATGTATTGTAACAACTCCTCCACTTCTAATTATTAGTTATATATCTACATCTACAAAAGAGCACACCGAAAATAATTCGAAATTTAACTTATTATACCCAAAAAATTGTGTTTTTTTTTTTTTTTTGTGAAATTAAAGATATTGTCGATGCTTAGAATTTTTCTACCCGTTTTAATATTATTAAAAAATTCAAGTCAACTAAAAAAGTTTTAAATTAATTTTTTCTTTAGTTAAGGCAAATAGTATAAAATGAAATTTATTTTGTTACATAAATAGTTTAAATTTGTAATTTAGAAGAAATGAACTGATTAATCCATAGATTAGCCGCACTAGAGCCGGCCGGCTTTGACTTTGGTTGAAGTTTGACGCCAGCACAGAGGCGCCGACCAATGACGGACGAACACAGAACATTTAATTATCGACAAGTGTCCCCACGACTTTTCGTCGACGATGGCCACGTCATCACAAATCAAGAGGGTAAAGGGCTCTTGTCAGAAATCTTTAGATCCGTCCAGTTATATGGAAAATATAATTAAATCACGACTCGGTTACTGATTTTATATTTTTATCCATAGACCGGCATGTATGCACACAAGTGTTATTGCCCGTGTCATAGTAGATTAAGTGGTCAAGATTGTTCGATGTTCCATTTATGTTTTCTGGAGTTTGCTTAGTTCGTCGGTCTCTATTTATAATACGTCACGATCGTGTATTTTAATGATTTTATGGACCTGTTTTTGAAGCAGCTATAATGTTTTTTAATGTCAACTAATATAATTAATTACAAGTGCACGAAAAAATAAATTCAAAAAATTATACAGCCAAATATATATATTAGTCTGAAAAAGATATAAAAAAGGAACCGACCATTGGTTAAAAAAGACACAGGCATTATGACTAAACATCGTGTTCTTTATGATGTTCTTGTCGGTTACTGAAGTGAAATAGCGAAACCTAACACGCCCCCTTGAGTAAGTAATCCAAATTGTGAGAAGTTTATACACTATATATTTCATTACAAGAAGTTGTAGTTAAACTTAATTCGTCTCTATTAATTATCTCTCTGTAATCAAAAGAAAATATACGGTAATGTAAATCATGTTACAACTGCGAACGCGAGCGGAAGTTCAATGAATATTAAGTTAGACATTTATGAAATGATTAGTTTAGGTAATCTTAGGTGGGAAAAAAAAAGAGATAATTAGCTGAGAAGTAACGGATCGAGGCTTATTTAAATTTTCGACATTATGCTCTTCGACCCAAGACATTGAAGATTTCAGCCCATATATCTTCCGTCTATACCCTCACGCGCTATAATTGAACAGTTCAATTTATAACGCGTTACATTGGAAAAAGAAGAAGATTTCTCTTTATTATCTCCTCTCGAGATATTAAACCGTCACTTTATTATCTCTCTCTGGAAACTTTAAGCCTCGTCGTCTTTTTCCTTTGTTTCGAGGATCGAGTTTGCTCCGGTGAGATTGCTAATCGGCGTCGCCTCATATCACAAGTAACTCGGTATCCCGTAGACCCGAATTCGAAGAGGCGAACTGTCACTTTCATTCTCTTCCAAAACCAATTGATTTTTCCTTATTTCGTTTAGATCTCTCTGTTTTAACTTCTGCTTTCATTTTTTTCGCTATTACGATTTTGTTTTCTACTGTTAGGTTTTCGTCCTTAAATTTCCTTATACACATCCTTAGATCTGCATGTATCTTCACCTCTTTGACGTAGATCCACTGTTAGACATCCATAATTTTATTTGGAGCTTCATACATAAATTGCATGTCATCATCTTCCGTTTATTGATCTAAGTTTCTAATAAATTAGCTCCTCTGTTTTGCAGGAAAATGGCAGATATTGATCTTCCTTCTAGGTATTTTGCAGACAGAGAAGAACCTGTCGGTGATCGTGTTAACATGTACTTTAAGCTTAATACCATCAAAGCCGTTCTAAAGGCCCTGACCCCCAAGGAGATCGAAACCATTCGACCTTGCTTTGGGAAAATCTTGGATCTTTACTTAAAGCCGGTGTTCTCCGGGAAGTTGGCCCACTTTCTATTAACCCGCCAGTTGAGTGTGGTCAAACGCCATGAAATATGGTTTGTATTCGCCGGAAAACCGATCAGATTCTCGTTACGGGAATTTGGTCTAGTTACTGGCCTTAACTGCAACCCTCTCGAAAGGTCTCTGATTAGGCCACCTCCCGGTGTGACGCCTTACTGGTTTACCCTTTTCGGTGGGGAAAATTATTTCACCGGCGAGATGTTGTTGTCGAAGCTGCAGAAATCTAAGGCTTTAACCAGCGAATTGCGGGTTAAGTATGCATGCTTGTTGCTGGTAGATGGATTTCTTGGTCGGCGCTCGTTCCACATGATGATTCCGAGGGAGCATGTTGAGATGATTCGGGATTTGGATGTGTTTTTGAAATATCCCTGGGGTCGGTACAGTTTTGATATGACGATGCAATGCATTAAGTCTAGATCTTTACTTCAATTGGCTCAGGCCACTGTTGTCATCCAAGGTTTTATACACGCTTTGGTCCTTGTATTTGTGGAGTCTATTCCGGCCGTTCTTTCAGTAGGTTGTGATAGAACCGAACCGGAATCCGACGATGAAGATATGTTCCCTGTAATTTCTCTGAAATTAGATAAAGTGTGGGAATTGGATGGAGAAGATCAGGTATATTAGACCTCTACGTGTTTATATAAATATCCATTCAGTTTTTGTCATGCGTCATTTGTTTAGATATACGGCTACATCCCTTTTTAACGTCTATTAACTACTGTTATAGGTCGATGTTCCGTCTATCATACCTTCGGCTGATGTTGTCACTAGGGTGGAAGATTGCGGTTGGGTTGATGAGGTAAGTGACCCCAGTGTTCAAGTATTGTTAAAGCGCCTTGAAGAAGGTGTCAAGTTCAGCCGTCAGATGTTTGTTGGTGGTATTAGAGGTTGGGGTCAATGATTCGAGGGACAACTTTCCGCTGCACCCGTTGACTTTCATTAGAAACCCAATGAGGGTTGTGTATTTTATTACAATCTACCTATGTTTTCTTTTGGATTATTCTTCTATACTCCTTCTTTATTTTGAACCATTGTTCTACCAGTCTTTCATCTTCTGAACTAGTAGTATCTGTATTTTTGTTTCAATCTGTTGGTTATACCTTCTAACCTTTTATGGCTCTACGTTTTAACTTTTCCCGCGATATACATGTTCATTCATTAGCTATAGATAGCTACATTTATAAATACATGTTTATCTAGTTATGTACAACTACATATTCAATGCGTTTTACTCCTTTTGTTAAATATGTAGACGTCTATATTAAAAGGTGTATGTCTAAGCAGCTCTTATGTTGGACATGCGTATGTGGGACGCGTAAGGGTCATGTATTTGACAAGCATTTAATATGTGTCAGTTCAATTGTACTTTTGTGTCAGAAGCCAAACCCACGCGCATACGTTTTACGCTTCCTGGTTATTTTGTAAATAACTTGTAAAGGTGACCCTTTTCTAGCTTTTGATAATACCTCGTCGCCGACAACTTCTGATAATACCTCTGCACTAATTTGTGTTCCCATTTCTACCTCTGCACAAATTCACTCAAAAAAAAAAGGACAAGATGCTTTCAAAGTTATAGTCTAGCTAGGGTCTAGGGATATATGGTTAATATACGTTTGGTGGTGCCGAGTCCACAAATATAATAAAATGAACTGAAATTATATAAATAAATAGAAAGAAATTTTCAAATTCTGTTTTAACAATTTTCAATTAACAACTAATATTTTTCTGACCGCTATACACATATAAAGAATAGGCAAGTCCGAACCAAACCAGAACAAAACAAAACACACACACACACACACACACACACTTGGAGTTAGAGAAAATAGAAGAGTTTGCCTTTTTTCTGGGGTGTGTCAAGTTTTCCTTTTCTCGTGCTTCCATCACGAGATCTCTCACAAGGCTCTCGCGACTCAAGAAAGATAAAGAGAAAGAAAGAAGAAGCGAAGATTCCATAAATGGACATGAAAAGCAACAACCACCAGCAACAGCAACAAGTACTTGATGGCTCGGACATAGTTGAGCTGGTGGAAAACGAGAAAGTGTTCGACAAGTTTGTGGAACAAAAGTTTCAACAGTTAGACCAAGATGAAGATGGTAAGCTCTCCGTGACTGAGTTACAACCCGCCGTTGCTGATATCGGCGCCGCTCTTGGTTTGCCTGCTCAAGGCACTTCTCCTGATTCTGATCACATCTACTCCGAGGTAATTTCCTTTTCTTCTTTCTTGATACCTTTTATATTCGTGATCCGGCTAATTTGCATATATGTTAGCATTTTTGTTAATTAGTTTTCCTATATTATTGATCTTTGCATTTGTTGGTCATCATGTAGTAAGAAATGTTTTTGTTTTTTTTGGCCGCCGTACTGACTAGAAATGTTCGGATCTAATTTTTGTGTTACAGTTTTTTTTTTTTTTTCAGTATTCATTAAACTGTAACAAATCCTTTTTGGGGTCTATATATGCCCTTCATTTTCTTTAACTGTGACATGGAGTGAACCTCTTATACCGGGGAAACACAGGTGGAAGCCACTTCCCCTGCTCTCGCCCTTTTGTGCATAGATTTTTATGATCTTCGAAAGGGTCATACTAGTCGTAAATCATATAAAATAATATATATAAAAATATCAACATTTTACTATAGTTTTTTTTTTTGAAAAAGAACATTTTACTATAGTTGTTTAAGTTATCTTCTTGATACTTACGTGGTGGATAATATCTCCCATTTATTTTTTTCCCAATATAAAAATGTGTGTTTTGCATTACAGTAAACTAGGTAAAAAATTAATAAAACCAGTAGTTGTCTTAAAGAAATGAATCAATGATAATAGCTCTGGTCGGTGACCTTATCTTCTATCATATCTCAAACTAGCCCCTCGTGTCGCTCTTCTCCTGTCGTTTCAATGTTGAAACATCGCTTTATGCATCCTCACCTACTAATTATTTATTAGTTACTGTGTAAAGGCTGTTATAGTATTTTGTTTATTTATACGTCATATAAGCCTATTTTTCTCTATTTATTTAGTTTGGCTAAACTCATAATCTAGTTTTTGTTCCCCTTAACAAAAAAAAGGGTTTATCCTACAAATAATCTTCAGTTTATTGTTTATTAATAAAGTCTTTATCTTTTTTAAGCATTTGGTCGGTGTGAAATTTCATTTTCGTTCGAGACTTTCTTGATATTTTTGAAAAACAATAATATCCCATATCACATTTTTTAATCCTTATTTATGACATATTTTGTGACGGAATCAAAGCCGTCCTTTATTTTACGAACATTCAACAAAAGACGAATATGAAATATCACAGAAACTATTTAATGAACCAAAAAAAAGTACATTAGTAATATTTTTTTACGGACATGGAAACCCCAAAATTACGTCGTGTTTCGCATGAATCACGTGGATTAATTAGATCAAGAGGACATCGATTGTAGTTGTAGTTATTAGTTAAGATTCGCTTGTTGAAAAAATATCCAAGAAGTAGTAATTCTGAATACGAATCTCTCTCTCATTGGATACAAATTGATATCCAATTACTTATCGTTACGTTTTGCTTTGGTGTATTTGAGGAAGAGACAACGAGATTAAACTAACAACTCTCTCTGTCTCATCCGTGCATTTAGTTTTCATCGTTTGTAACGTTATAATTACCTATTGTAGGTCCTAAACGAATTCACTCATGGGAGTCAAGAGAAAGTGAGCAAGACAGAGTTCAAAGAAGTGTTGTCGGACATTTTGTTGGGTATGGCTGCTGGTCTGAAACGTGATCCTATCGTCATCCTCAGGATGGACGGTGAGGATCTCTCGGAGTTTGTCCACGGCCCTGGATACGAAATCGAACTTGTTTCTGTCTTCTCAGAGCTCTCCAGTTGCGAGGACGCATCGCTCCGTGATTGTATCGTCAAAGCTCTCCAGTCTCTTTCTGTTGATCATGGAATGCCTCCTTCCAATGACCCATGGGTACGTATTTACTTTATTTATATATATCGCTTTTTCTGCTTGAAAATACAAGTCTTGCTATGGATTTTCTTGGCGTAAAGTTCCTAATTCAACTTCAAATCTAAATTAATATGAGATATAAAATAAAGCATAATATTTAAGAGTCCACTTGTTTTTGTATAGGTAAAACCAAAACCGTAAAAATAACTTTTTTCAGATGTTTTTTTTTATTTTGTGTACAAAATATCAAAAGTTAATACTTATGGTGGGAGTACATATGATATGTAGTATCCAAGTTATGTTGCTAGAGATCAGTGAGCTTTGCTTAAAAAGTAAAGTCCTTGTAACAGGTGATGAGCAACATTGTAGAACCAATTGTTGACTCTTGTCTTGATGAAGAAGATAAGAGAGAGAAGAGCGCGTCTCAGGAAAAATTCTTGGAGGCATTCAAGAGAGTCGTGGAGAGAGTGGCTCAGCGTCTCAATGAACAACCCGTGATCGTTGCTCACAGCGAAAATACCTTCGATGGGAGCGGTGTCAGGAGGCTCTTGTCCAATAAATTCGAATTCGATAAGGTAAACTTTCATACATATATATATATATGTTAGCTAGCTTTCATACTACAAGAAGACAAGTTTTTTTTTTAAATGATGGTAACGAGTCACGATTCGGAACGTTTTGGTCGCAGGCACTAAACGTTGCATTGGAGACGATTCCAAAAGACCGTCATGGTAAGGTGTCTAAAGAATACCTACGAGCTGTGCTTGACACTGTTGCACCATCTGCGACTTTACCACCGATAGGCGCTGTGACCCAGGTAAATAAATATTTTTTGTCTTTTCTGATTTTTGGTTTAACTTATATTTTGTCTTTGAAATTGTTTATTTTGCCTTTCGCACAAAAAAAAAAATGTTTATTTTGCCTTTGAATTTACATGTTACAGTTATTTTGTTTATATTTTAAAACAAATGAAACCACAACTTAAGTTTTAATCAAATTTTTTGCTCAAAAAAAACAAGTTTTAATCAAATATTATTAGTGAAGTTTTTGTTTCAACGGCATTGATTAGTTAAGTTTGTTTGTGTTTAAGATGGATAATATGATAATGGAAGCGTTGAAGATGGTGAATGGAGATGATGGAAATATGGTGAAGGAAGAAGAGTTTAAGAAAACAATGGCAGAGATATTGGGGAGTATAATGTTGCAGCTTGAGGGTAATCCAATATCGGTTTCCTCTAACTCGGTGGTTCACGAGCCGCTCACCTCGGCTACATTTCTGCCGCCGACTCTGAATGAAACAGAGGAGCCTTCAAATTAATCATAGACGGGAATAAGCAACATCAACAATGTTATATGGTTATGAGTTTTTACCCCCAAAAGTTTTTAGAGTAATGAGGAAAACCGTCTTACTTTCAGCTGTATAAGATTGAAAGTTTGGGGTTTCTTCTTGTGGGTGTGGTGATTATGCTCATGCCTTTGTTTTTTTTCTTTTCTTTTTCTAATTACCAAGGGATGCAATGTTTACTGTGTTTTTATTTCGTTATAAATTGTTTACGTTTATGAAACATTTGAGTTATCTTTAAAAGTGGGAAATAAAAATTGTGAAGTTTAAATGAAGAATTTGATCACAAGAGCTTGTCGAAAATTAAAAATTAGTTAATTTATATAATTACGGTCATTAGCACAAAAAATAAACCAGGGAGTAATCTATTGGTAACACAAAAGAAAAGAAAAGAAAAGAGGACCAACCAAAAGGTCCAAAAACGAATAACTATCCATTCGCGTCGCCGGAGTTTCCAGCCGTTTCTTCCCGATTCTCAAACGCGTCGCCGAGAATCGGAAGAGAGGGAAAAGGGTATGGCTCCTCATGGAGATGAATTAATTGACATCGAGAAACCTGAGCTTGCTCAATCGGAGATTCTTCGACCGATCGCCACAGTCGTCTTCGTCATCGGTACTTTATGATTTATGGAGATTCCGATTTCGATCTATCGATTTCTTCTTCTTCTTACTTTTTTGTTTTCTGATGGAGCTGCAGCTATGCAAGCGGAGGCTCTTCCTTTGGTCAACAAGTTCGGACTCTCTGAAACTACTGATTCGCCGTTAAGAGCTCTCCTTTTTCCGATTTCTGTTTTTTTTTGCTTGTTTGTGTTTGATCTCCATAAACAAAGTTCGCTTTTTGTTTATGATATATTGCAGGCTTGGTAAAGGATTGCCCTGGGTTCTGTATCACGGCGTGCATAAAGATCTTCAAATCAATGTAGTTTGCCCCGGAAGAGATGCAGCTTTAGGTAAGCTTTGCACTCAATGCTCACAAAGATATGATAATTAGCCTGTGAATCTCTCGGTCGTTTCAGTATAGTAGCTTTGGTTTTTCAAGTCGGTGCTTTGTTTAGTATGAGCTTGTTGATGAATTGAGCTCTACAAGGAAAAGGAATGCACTTTTTATGCTGCTAACTGAGATTTCTTTCCAGGGATCGATAGTGTTGGAACTGTTCCTGCTTCTCTCATAACTTTTGCTTCTATCCAAGCATTAAAACCTGACATTATAATCAATGCTGGAACCTGCGGTGGCTTTAAGGTACATTTTTTCTTTACTTCTCATGTGCTCTGTCTTCACTTCCAGCATCCTTCCAAAGAACCACTTCCTCTCTTCTTTCTTTACTTGTGGTTTGGGTTTTATTTTGTTACTGCTCGTTTACTGAACTCTGAGATTTGAGTTGCATCATAAAAATCTCTCTCTCCCTCATATCTCTATTTTCATGTTGTAAAAGTTGGTTTATTTTCATGTAATGGAAGTGCTGATTGACTGAACATATTCAGGTTAAAGGAGCCAACATAGGCGACGTATTCCTTGTATCTGATGTTGTGTTTCATGATAGAAGAATACCAATTCCGGTAGGTTCTTCTTCCTTTTTCTTTCCATCTTTAGTGATTCCTTTTTTCCCATTTTCATCTTGCAAGTTCCTGAGCGATGTTTGTATATCTCTGTAGATGTTTGATCTGTATGGAGTTGGTCTTCGTCAAGCATTCTCGACACCCAATCTCCTCAAGGAACTCAATTTGAAGGTATTTATTAGACTCAAGCTGCTACTTGCTCTTTTAACTATATCATTTTTTTCAAAAATGGGGTGGTTCAGATTGGCAGGTTATCTACTGGTGACTCGTTGGATATGTCCACGCAAGATGAATCATTGATCATTGCCAATGATGCTACGCTAAAGGACATGGAGGTAGTGTAATGTTAATAACTCTAATTACCGATTCTAGTTAGAAAATCAAAGTATTCTGTTGTTTTGAAACTCTTTTGGCTCTGGATTCTTCAGGGTGCTGCTGTGGCGTACGTGGCTGATCTTCTGAAAATACCAGTCGTGTTCCTCAAAGCTGTGACCGATCTAGTGGACGGAGATAAACCTACTGCAGAAGAGTTCTTGCAGAACTTGACAGTTGTTACCGCTGCACTAGAGGAAACTGCCACTAAAGTGATCAACTTCGTCAATGGGAAAAACCTTTCAGACCTTTAACTTTCGTCTCTTCTTTTATCGGAGAGTGATTTTTTTAAAATGCTATCAACGTGCTTGTTGCAGTTTCACTGATTTCCAGTGATTATATTTCTCGTTAATAAATTTCAAGTTATAAGACGTTCTCTCCTTAATTTTGCTAAAATTTTGGTAAAAAAACAGTTTCAAAGATAATTTATCAACCTCGGAAGACTTAAAATCCTTTGATAGTCGAAAATATACAACACAGTAAAATTAATTGTTACCGAGACACTTAGTGCAACCTCAAGACACAAAAAAGGTGAAGTCAGAGGTAAAGAAAAAATTGAGCTCTCTTTTCCGATTAGAATTTCCAGCAAGCTCATCAGACATCATTGGAGTATTTTTATCTTTTTAACTTAAACTACACCAGACGGAAGCCGGAGAACAAGCTGCCCTCCGAAAACGCTGTAGACAAAAAAAGTTGAAACTTCTGAGATATATACAAAGAGCTAAATAGCTAAAATGTTGAAGTGAAGGACTAATGCGTACCTTTGGACGTAGTAGTAACAGAAATCTGCCAAGATGAAAGTTTGAACAATTTCTGAGATCAGTACCATTGATGGCCAAAATCCATAACCCAATGCTACAAGCAACCGTCCCCGCGTGTCCACAACCTGTTTTTAACACATTAGACAACATATTCAGCATTCGAAATTGACTTTTAATGTATTAAACCAATCTATTGGTATAATCTCTATTCACTCTTGAAGATCAAAACTAACCTGTAAAACCCAGTGGGCACAGCTGAGGAACCTTGCTACTCCAAGTGCAAAAACATAATGAGCCGTGAACGGTTCAACAATCTGAAAACCAAATAGATGCGGGTTAGAGAGTAAACCAAATGTAGTTCTCCACTTGACATTGTGAAATAAAAATGTGACCTTTGTGTTCTGCATCACTCGTAGCTGAGGCAGAACTGAAACAGCTTCAAGGTATACACATAATGCCCATGAAATCCTGTTTAATATGTGATGAGAGGTCGATGGATGGATGAACACAGCTAATAAAACACAGGGCGCAAGCTGCAAAAATTGAAATCAGATAATTGTCAAGCGTCAATGATAACAACTAGAGGATCAAAACCAGATTGACGTACCACATAATAGAGAGGAAAGTTGTCTTTGTCCTCCATGTAACTAGCTCTTAAATTGAAACGAATCATAAATATAACCCAGAGAGTTGTTCCCAAAGTAGCCAAGTCCAGAATAGTATGTATATCATATTCCATTACAAAGCTACAATACAGCCTAACCGCTAGAAATATCGCCGTAAGCTCCTGGGATTTCAGTGACAATCCTGCAAAAAATCATTCACAAAGTTATATGTAAACACTTTTGGAGGTGGTATGCTTAATGATTTGAAAAAGAATCATATAATGCATTTTAAAATGCTAAATTGCTAAGCAGAGCCGTGATTATAAAGATGATGATTCTACAAATTAAGGCTAAAAGCTGCTTCCGGGAGCAGATAATAGTGGTAAACCAATGAAATTCTGATCAAAGCTCAAAAATTTGGACGCGATTGTGAGAGATAAACAAAAGAGTAGTGACGTTAACAAGTAATTTTGTAAGAACAGACGAATACAATACGATCAGAAGCTGATAAGGAAGGACTGAGTTGAAAAACCCTAAAAATGGATGTGATAAAGACAAGACACATAGAATAGTACCGGCACAGGTCTTCTCCTTCATGAGTTTGTAGATGAGAACACAGATCCCGATGGAATGAACAGCCTCAGCGGCAACGAAGAGATTGTCGTGATCGTGAACAATGAATCTGAGAAGAACCAAAGCCGCCATGCCAGTGACCACGGCGAGAAAAGCCTTCACCTTTGGAGGTTGTCTCCTTACCCATGACCACACCGCGTGGATCGGAGTCTTCGTCGTCGCCTTCATGTTTTGCCTTTTTTCGCTTTTCTTCTTCTTCTTCTTCTTCTGTCTCTGATTTTCTCGGCAAAAGTGAAAAAGGTAACTCCTGATCGAGAGAGATTAAAAAGTCTGGTTTTGGTTGACTTGCTGCAAAATTACTAAATAACCCCTTCCACATCTCTTACTCTTGAATACTAAATGGGCCGTGACTGAATCCATAACTTAGGCCCATATTCGTATTTACTTTTTTTAAAAAAGGCCCATGATTGCCCTTTTTCACTCTATCTATATATATATGTTCGTTCGGTAGTTAATCGTCTTTCTTACCGACCTCACCAGACGACGGTGATTTTAGGGATTTTCGTGTTCATCAAGGCTCGCACGGAGGTTTTAGGGCTTTTCCTCTCAGCGATTTGGCTGGTCCTTTGGATTTGTTGAAATCTGAAGCTATGTGGAACAATGATGGTACGCCCTTAGCTCCTCCTGGCACCTACGGTTCGAGGATGCAGACACCAACACAGCCCGCTGATCACCCTTCTTACACGGCGCCTTCTAATCGGAATCCTCCGACGGAACCTACTTCTGAGGATGCGGAGGCGAAGCTTGAGAAGAAGGCCAGAACATGGATGCAGCTCAATTCCAAACGGTACGGCGACAAGAGGAAATTTGGGTTCGTGGAAACTAAGAAGGAGGACATGCCACCTGAGCATGTTAGGAAAATCATCAGGCGAGTTTCTGTTTTTTCAATTTTGATTTCGAAATCCAGTTAACTGGGAAATTCAATATATTTCTATGCTTAGATTGAAACTGACTCTGCGTTTTGATTCAGGGATCATGGTGATATGTCATCTAAGAAACATGGACTTGACAAACGTGTATATCTTGGAGCACTTAAGTTTGTTCCTCACGCAGTTTTCAAGCTCCTGGAGAATATGCCTATGCCCTGGGAACAGGTACTCCTTTACTTTAAGTGATCTCTATCTCGCTTTAGTTGTTCTCCTTCTCTGCTCAAAATTTTGAACTCAGATGTCTTCCAGGTCCGGGACGTGAAGGTCTTGTACCACATCACTGGAGCTATTACTTTTGTGAACGAGGTACCATGGGTTGTGGAACCTATTTACATGGCTCAGGTGGGTGAATAATCCCCCTCTCTCTCTCTCTCTCTCTCTCTTCTTTTGTGTCTGTGCATTTGTGAATTTGCGAGAAATCTTTTCCAGTGATGATTCTCTCTTGTTTGCAGTGGGGTTCTATGTGGATAATGATGAGAAGGGAGAAGAGGGATCGTCGTCATTTCAAGAGAATGCGGTTTCCACCATTTGATGATGAGGAGCCTCCTCTAGACTATGCTGATAACCTACTGGACGTGGATCCTCTAGAGCCAATTCAGTTGGAGCTAGACGAGGAAGAAGATTCTGCTGTATACTCTTGGTTTTACGACCACAAGCCACTTGTAAAAACAAAACTGATCAATGGTCCAAGTTACCAGACGTGGAATCTCTCACTTCCAATTATGTCAACCCTTCACAGGCTTGCAGCCCAGTTGTTGTCTGATTTGGTTGATCGCAACTACTTCTACTTGTTTGACATGCCATCATTCTTCACAGCAAAGGCACTGAACATGTGCATACCAGGTAACGCTATTCTCCTTCTGTCCTTCAGTTCTGATATTTTCATTTTCAGTTGATGTCCTTCTGTTCTCTTTTCCTTATTCATTCTCCTACTCTTTTCCAGGCGGTCCTAAGTTTGAGCCTTTGTATCGTGATATGGAGAAAGGAGATGAGGACTGGAATGAATTTAATGACATCAACAAGCTTATCATTCGATCCCCTCTGCGAACTGAGTACCGAGTAGCTTTCCCCCATCTGTACAATAATAGGCCCAGGAAAGTAAAACTCTGTGTCTATCACACTCCTATGATTATGTACATAAAGACGGAGGATCCTGATCTTCCTGCGTTTTATTATGATCCATTAGTTCACCCAATAAGTAACTCGAGTAACACTAATAAAGAACATCGCAAAAGTAATGGTTATGATGATGATGAGGATGACTTTGTGTTACCAGAAGGAGTGCAACCTTTGCTGAATAACTCCCCACTCTACACTGAAACTACAGCTGCTGGCATTTCATTGTTGTTTGCCCCTCGGCCTTTCAATATGAGGTCTGGGAGGACTCGGCGGGCAGAGGATATACCCCTTGTTGCAGAATGGTTTAAGGAGCACTGGTAAGCTAATTTTTCTGATGCTACTTTGGTTCTCTTTCTCCTTTTGAAATTTACTAGTCATTGTATTAACTTCTTTGTGATCTCATTTTCTGCAGTCCTCCAGCATATCCTGTCAAAGTTCGGGTTAGTTACCAGAAGCTTTTGAAGTGTTATGTACTCAATGAGCTGCACCATAGACCACCTAAGTCTCAGAAGAAGAAGCACTTGTTCCGATCTCTTGCAGCTACAAAGTTTTTCCAGAGCACCGAACTGGATTGGGTTGAAGTGGGTCTGCAAGTCTGCCGGCAGGGATATAATATGCTGAACCTGTTGATTCACAGGAAGAATTTGAACTACCTGCACCTTGATTATAACTTTAACCTCAAGCCTGTGAAAACTCTGACAACCAAGGAACGAAAGAAGTCACGTTTTGGAAACGCTTTCCATCTCTGCCGTGAGATCCTCCGGGTGACAAAGCTTGTAGTTGATGCAAATGTCCAGTTCCGACTTGGTAATGTTGATGCCTTTCAATTGGCTGATGGCCTGCAATATATATTTTCCCATGTTGGGCAATTGACAGGTATGTATCGATATAAGTACAGGCTTATGAGACAAATCAGGATGTGCAAGGATTTGAAACACTTGATCTATTACCGTTTCAATACTGGTCCTGTGGGTAAAGGACCAGGGTGTGGATTTTGGGCTCCAATGTGGAGGGTATGGTTGTTTTTCCTTCGCGGAATAGTTCCTCTTCTAGAACGATGGTTAGGGAACCTGCTTGCACGTCAATTTGAGGGGCGTCACTCAAAGGGAGTGGCCAAAACAGTCACAAAACAGAGAGCTGAAAGCCATTTTGATTTGGAGCTTCGAGCTGCTGTCATGCATGATGTCGTTGATGCAATGCCAGGTTCGCTTCTTGCGTATATAACTGATTTGTTTTTCTCAAGGTTGAAATTGCTTTGCTTTAATTTTATCTCTTCCTTCTTGGTTTATACTGTCTGCTGATCTGCAGAGGGTATCAAGCAAAATAAAGCGCGGACGATATTGCAGCACCTTAGTGAGGCATGGCGGTGTTGGAAAGCTAATATACCATGGAAGGTCCCTGGATTACCTGTGGCAATTGAGAATATGATCCTCCGATATGTCAAGTCTAAAGCTGATTGGTGGACAAATGTTGCTCACTACAACCGTGAGCGTATCAGAAGAGGGGCTACTGTTGATAAGACAGTTTGTAGAAAGAATCTTGGACGCTTGACCCGTCTTTGGCTCAAGGCAGAACAGGTCTGTACCTTGTCTCAACTCGTAAAATCTAAATCATTGTTGCTTGACATAGATGCTTATGAAGAGGCTTCGTTTTTTGGTCTGATGGAATTTAGTTCCTTTTATTCTCTATTGCCCAGTTCTGTAATACTTTTTCCTTGTAAAATTGTTGCAGGAACGACAACATAATTTTCAGAAAGATGGTCCATATGTCACTGCGGATGAAGGAATTGCAATTTATAGCACCACTGTAAATTGGCTGGAATCTAGAAAATTTTCACCAATCCCATTCCCTCCATTATCATATAAACATGACACAAAGTTGCTTATCTTGGCCCTTGAGAGACTGAAAGAATCATATAGTGCAGCTGTGAAGTTGAATCAGCAGCAGAGAGAAGAGCTTGGTTTAATTGAACAAGCTTATGACAATCCTCATGAAGCTCTGATGCGAATAAAGCGTCATCTTCTCACTCAGCATAGCTTCAAAGAAGTAAGTTGATAATGCACCCATTCTGGAGCAGTTTTCTGAACATGCGATCTCATATTTTTTTGATGGTTACTATGTTATTCTGATGGTGAATGCATTTTTTTTTTCTGCAGGTTGGCATAGAGTTTATGGATCTATATAGCCATTTGATTCCTGTCTATCAAATTGATCCCCTGGAGAAAATTACTGATGCTTATCTTGATCAATATTTGTGGTATGAGGGTGACAAGCGCCACTTGTTTCCCAACTGGATTAAGCCTGCAGACTCAGAGCCGCCACCGCTTCTGGTTTACAAATGGTGTCAAGGTATCAATAATTTGCAAGGCATATGGGACACAAGTGATGGTCAGTGTGTGGTGATGCTCCAGACGAAGTTTGAAAAACTCTTTGAGAAGATTGATTTTACAGTGTTGAACAGGTATCTCTCTATTAAATGCTTAATGTGATTATGGACATAGAACTTAGACTTTCTGGAGTAACACGTCTTTTTTGTTGTTTATTTCAGCCTTCTTCGTTTGGTTCTTGATCCTAAGCTTGCAAACTATGTGACTGGCAAGAATAATGTGGTCATGTCTTACAAGGATATGAGCTATACTAATACGTACGGACTCATTAGGGGACTGCAGTTCGCATCGTTTGTTGTTCAGTTTTATGGACTAGTGCTAGATCTTTTGCTTCTTGGTTTGACTCGAGCGAGTGAAATTGCCGGGCCACCGCAGAGGCCTAATGAGTTTATGACCTATTGGGATACAAATGTTGAGACACGCCATCCCATAAGACTGTATTCTCGGTATATAGACAAAGTGCATATAATGTTCAAATTTACCCATGAAGAGGCTCGGGATCTTATTCAACGTCATCTCACCGAGTGTCCTGATCCCAACAATGAAAACATGGTGGGATATAACAATAAAAAGTGTTGGCCAAGAGATGCAAGGATGAGGTTAATGAAACATGATGGTATGCTCCTTTTTATATTTAGTAGACTATCACTATGCACCAGATATTGTCTCATTATTTATTCATCTTGCAGTCAATCTTGGTAGAAGTGTCTTTTGGGATATGAAGAATCGTCTTCCTCGAAGCATCACAACCTTGGAGTGGGAGAATGGCTTCGTCTCCGTGTACAGCAAGGATAATCCAAACTTGCTTTTCAGCATGTATGCGTTTTGTCTCAGTTTTCTAGTGGCTGTTGTAAATTAGTGCTAGGCCTTTGTTTTTGTCACTGTTTGATAGTGCAGCTTATTGACTGGGGTTTGCATTATTGCCTGCAGGTGTGGATTTGAAGTCCGCATGCTTCCAAAAATCAGGATGGGCCAAGAAGCTTTCAGCAGCACAACGGATGGTGTCTGGAATCTGCAGAATGAACAAACTAAAGAGAGGACTGCAGTTGCTTTTCTGCGGGTTGATGATGAACACATGAAGGTGTTTGAGAATCGTGTGAGGCAGATTCTTATGTCGTCAGGGTCAACAACATTTACCAAAATCGTCAATAAATGGAATACAGCCCTGATAGGTATATCCTGTACGCCTTTCTTTTGGCAGTACTGATGACGTTTAATAATGTTTGACTAGCATGTAGCTGAGCACATTTATTTGTTTTGTACAGGCCTCATGACTTACTTCCGTGAAGCCACTGTACATACGCAAGAGCTCTTGGATCTGCTTGTTAAATGTGAAAATAAAATCCAAACGAGGGTTAAGATTGGATTGAACTCAAAGATGCCTAGTCGGTGAGCAAACGCTATCTTACTATATTGTGTTTGATGTATCAGAGTTGTATGTTGTGTTTTTGTAAACCTGATTGTTCATCTTTTCCTTTGTAGATTTCCTCCTGTTATCTTCTACACTCCAAAGGAAATTGGCGGGCTTGGAATGTTGTCTATGGGTCATATTTTGATCCCACAAAGTGACCTTCGGTACAGCAAGCAGACAGATGTTGGTGTAAGCCATTTCAGGAGTGGAATGAGCCACGAGGAAGATCAACTGATTCCTAATCTTTACCGTTACATACAACCATGGGAAAGCGAATTTATTGATTCACAGCGGGTGTGGGCAGAATATGCTTTAAAGAGGCAGGAAGCACAGGCCCAAAATAGACGTCTAACGTTGGAGGATCTGGAAGTAAGTATTTTACTTGTGACTTTGTTGCCTCTTTACGTAGTTTATAGTTCTGAGAAGATATCAATTCGTTAGTTATCCTCTTTCGCTGGTCTTGAAAGTAGCTTTTGTGTGTGTATACTTTCGATTTCACTTGACGTAGGGATTTTGTAGAGGATATCTAAGTGTTGCCTTGTTCTCTTTTGGAGGCAAGTTTGATTGAGAAGTCTTGATGTTCAATTTAGAGTATATTAACTCATGTTAAAAAATATATTCGACAGGACTCTTGGGATAGGGGAATTCCGCGTATAAATACGCTGTTCCAGAAGGATAGGCACACTTTAGCATATGATAAAGGTTGGAGGGTCCGGACTGACTTCAAACAGTACCAAGCCCTGAAACAAAATCCTTTCTGGTGGACACACCAGAGGCATGATGGTAAATTGTGGAACTTGAACAATTACCGAACTGATGTCATCCAAGCTCTTGGAGGTGTTGAGGGTATTCTTGAGCACACCTTATTTAAAGGAACATAGTGAGTCTGCCTTTTCGTTCGTGCTCATTAATTTGATCTTTCTTTCACATTGACATTTGATGTTTTTGTTGCTCACAGCTTTTGTTCTCGCTTACCTTATCAATTTTGCTAAAAAAATTTCTTTACATGAATCCAGCTTTCCAACGTGGGAGGGTCTTTTTTGGGAGAAGGCATCTGGTTTTGAGGAGTCTATGAAATATAAGAAGCTGACAAATGCGCAGAGGTCTGGTCTGAACCAGATTCCGAATAGAAGATTCACGCTTTGGTGGTCGCCAACAATTAATCGAGCGAATGTATATGTGGGTTTCCAAGTGCAGTTGGATTTGACAGGAATATTTATGCACGGAAAGATTCCTACTCTTAAAATATCTTTGATTCAGATTTTCCGTGCCCATTTGTGGCAAAAGATCCATGAGAGTGTTGTTATGGACCTTTGCCAAGTACTGGATCAAGAGTTGGATCCTTTGGAGATAGAAACTGTGCAGAAAGAGACAATTCATCCACGGAAGAGTTACAAAATGAATAGCTCTTGTGCTGATGTTCTTCTATTTGCTGCTTATAAATGGCCAATGTCTAAGCCTAGTCTAGTGGCTGAGTCAAAGGATATGTTTGATCAGAAAGCAAGTAACAAGTATTGGATAGATGTGCAACTTCGATGGGGAGATTACGACTCCCATGATATTGAACGCTATACTAGGGCTAAATTCATGGATTACACAACGGACAACATGTCTATCTATCCATCTCCGACAGGTACTTTATAACCTTTTTTCAATTTGTCAATTTATTTTTGTTTTTCTGCAGTAAGTCTCATAGCTTGATGAAATCCTCGCAGGTGTAATTATTGGGCTTGATTTGGCCTATAACTTGCATTCTGCCTTTGGTAATTGGTTCCCTGGTTCAAAACCTCTGCTTGCTCAAGCAATGAACAAAATCATGAAGGTACAAGAACTTCTATTTTGTGGTGTGTTTTTTATTTATTTGGTTTTACATATGTGCCTCTTATTGTTTAAGCTTTAAATGTTACAGTTTAATCTTATTGTTTAAGCTTTAAATGTTACAGTCAAATCCTGCTCTATACGTGTTGAGAGAGAGGATAAGGAAAGGTTTGCAGTTGTACTCATCTGAGCCTACAGAACCATATTTGTCTTCTCAAAACTATGGTGAAATATTCAGCAATCAGATCATATGGTTCGTTGATGATACAAATGTATACCGTGTCACAATCCACAAGACATTTGAAGGAAATCTAACAACAAAGCCAATCAATGGTGTGATTTTTATTTTCAACCCAAGAACAGGGCAACTATTCCTAAAGGTAGTTTTCCTCTCCCATACATTCCACTAGTAACATGCAAATGCATTGTAATATGTAACCGCTGTTTCATCTGTAAAATTATAATAACACCCATTGGGGATCTTTGTCCCACTAGGTCATTCATACAAGCGTTTGGGCTGGGCAGAAGCGCCTCGGTCAGCTAGCGAAATGGAAAACTGCTGAAGAGGTTGCGGCACTTGTGCGGTCTCTCCCTGTTGAAGAACAGCCAAAACAAGTTATTGTAACTCGGAAAGGAATGTTGGATCCCCTTGAGGTTCATCTGTTGGATTTCCCAAACATTGTTATAAAGGGAAGTGAACTCCAGCTTCCGTTCCAGGCTTGTCTTAAGATAGAAAAATTTGGTGATCTGATTTTGAAGGCCACAGAGCCCCAGATGGTCCTCTTCAATGTCTATGATGATTGGTTGATGACTGTTTCTTCGTACACTGCCTTTCAAAGACTCATTCTGATCCTTCGTGCTCTTCACGTAAACAATGAAAAGGCAAAGATGTTATTGAAGCCAGACATGTCTGTTGTCACTGAGCCAAATCACATCTGGCCCTCTCTCACTGACGGCCAATGGATGAAGGTAACCCTTGTGTCACCTTTCAAGTAGTGTTTTGTCGTATTTTCTGATAAGAACGCTTGGTTGTTGCATCTGCAATTTCTGCTTATTTTTAATAATAATCAATTAACCTTTTCTTTGTTTAGTGAAGTTGTTATCCTCCTTCCTTACTCACATCTGATGATTCATTTTATATTCAGGTGGAGGTTGCTCTTAGAGATCTCATCCTTTCTGACTACGCGAAGAAGAACAACGTGAATACGTCAGCTCTGACACAGTCAGAGGTCAGAGATATAATACTTGGAGCTGAGATTACTCCTCCGTCTCAGCAGAGGCAACAGATAGCTGAGATTGAGAAACAGGTACTTGTAATTGTCACTTCTCTCGAGGGTTCTTGAAACAGGGACATTCAGAAATTAGATTTATTTTGGTTACTCTAAAAAAAAAAAATTGTTTCCTGCTGCAGGCAAAGGAAGCGAGCCAGCTTACTGCAGTCACAACAAGAACCACAAATGTTCATGGTGATGAATTGATTAGCACCACCATTAGTCCGTACGAGCAATCTGCATTTGGATCCAAAACAGACTGGCGTGTGCGTGCAATTTCAGCTACTAACCTCTACCTCAGGGTCAACCACATCTACGTGAACTCGGACGACATAAAGGTACAAAGTCAAATTCACTCAGACTTACTTATTCAAATTAACAAGTAAAGGCCCTAAAACGTATTTGTTTGTTGTTCACAGGAAACTGGATACACCTACATTATGCCCAAGAACATATTGAAGAAGTTCATATGCATAGCGGATCTTCGAACTCAAATTGCTGGATATTTATATGGGATAAGTCCGCCGGATAATCCCCAAGTGAAGGAAATCCGTTGTGTTGTGATGGTGCCGCAATGGGGAAATCACCAGCAAGTTCAACTGCCGTCGTCTCTTCCGGAACATCAGTTCTTGGATGATTTAGAGCCCCTGGGATGGATGCACACACAGCCTAACGAGCTTCCTCAGTTTTCACCACAGGTATGCATATAAATATATATATATATATATATATGTATATACCTTCTTACAAACTTTACACCTAATAACTGGGTTTTTTTTTCTTTTGCTGCTGTAGGATGTGACTTTTCACTCCCGTGTTCTGGAGAATAACAAGCAATGGGACGGAGAAAAATGCATCATCCTGACATGTAGTTTCACTCCGGGCTCATGCTCTTTGACGTCATATAAGCTGACGCAAGCCGGATATGAATGGGGACGGCTGAACAAAGACACAGGCAGCAATCCCCACGGTTACCTTCCCACCCACTATGAGAAGGTTCAGATGCTCTTGAGTGACCGTTTCTTCGGGTTCTACATGGTGAGAACACACAGTAACCCTTAATTGTTGCGTGTTTGGCCTTGATTGATATTATTTTATTATACAGCACTGAAATGATGAGACTTATTGTTGAATGATAGGTTCCTGAGAACGGACCCTGGAACTACAACTTCATGGGAGTGAATCACACGGTGGGCATGAACTACAGCTTGAAACTCGGAACCCCCAAGGAGTACTATCACCAAGACCATCGACCCACTCATTTCCTCGAGTTCAGCAATATGGAAGAGGATGGTGACCTCGATCGTGAGGACTCTTTTGCTTAAGACGTTTTTTGGATGTATGATGTAATCATGTAAATTAAGTTTGCAAATTGTTAATGATGAGATTGAAAAGATTTTTCTCTAATTTTAAAAAAAATAATAGTAATGATTTGAAGACTTTACAAGCAAATTCAGTTACATGATTAAAAAAAAAGACTTGAATAACCTCTGTCGATTTTTTTTTTTTTGGTATATGTAGTAGCTTCGAGTTGGGTATGAATTCGAATTCATTGCACCCATGATGACATTGTCAGATGAGATGTATCAAACATTGTTTTACTTTTGTTCCGCACATTTTCACTTCATCTCAGTCCATCCGTACAATTCTGGACACCAACCTTTGTGTTTTACTTCAACAAGTAGTAAAAATCTCTTGGTCCATTTGTCCTTTACATTCAATATATCTCTGTGAGTTTATATAAACAATGTAGTTGTATACTCAGAGAATATGTCAACATCCAGATCTGCATTAGTCAGGATATTTTCACGTACGTCTCATATTTATGGAAAAAAACAATTTTTCATACATACATAAAACAATTTTCGATTTAATCAATGTGGGAACCATATACAGTTCACATATTTATCGCATGTCACCTAACAAAACTAATATCGCAAAACTCACACCATGTGGGACTATATCCTTGGTTGCCCCAAAATTAGATCTTTTTTTTTTCTTGCTACTTTTTTTCTACCTACATTTATTATTGCTACCTAAGATATATATAGGGTTTATCTTTCTTATATAATTATATATACGATTGTTTCTATTGGTATATCGTTTCAACGTCGATTACATGTTTTGAAATAGAATTCTATCCTTACTAAAAAAATCCTTATATTTTATACATTGATTGTTTTATACGCAAATATAAAATTCTATACAACTTTCAAGTGTTTATTTTATCACAATAATTATAACTGCAAATGTTATAAAAAATAATTTTTCGTGTGCAAACAATTTGTACCTTTGCTTAGCCAAAACACACGAGATCGTGTCTACAATTATAAAAACATATTTGACTATATTAACATATATACATCATAATAGTAGACATCTATAAAGCAAAATGCAATTTAAAAAAGTGAAGCTCTATATAATCTGATATTGGAAAAATGATCTTACATAAGAAACATCTATTTTTGCTTAAATTAGCGACCATGAATTTATGTTTTCAAAGGAAGCATAGTCGCTATATAGGCTATACCCCGATCGATCCACCAACCATCTACACAATTAGGCTATTGAATACATGTTTTTACATTTAAGAATGGACCTTATTAGGGATTATGTGTACAGTATGCAAGTATACATTAAAATAAAAAAATGGAAGTATATATTTCTTCTGTATATCAGAAAATGAATATAAATAATAACTTTAATTAAACTTGAGCCTCTTAATTGTACAACTGTCCAAAGCCACCATATTAATGGGCGTGGATGAGTAGGTGGAGCTTTAATACGGCAACCAACATTATGATATCTTTAACATATATGCAATCCTCCATTTTTTATTTCTAGTTCGCATTGCAAGTTTTCTAGCACCTAAAACGCAGTCAGGAGATCTCTTTATATATCATCAGGTCTCTCGATTCGAAAGTCGTACTAGCTATTGCATGCACCCACATATATATGCATCATGTCAATTTTGCGATATCAGATATTTCTAATTTTGCATCAATTTTTATAAGAACGTGTAAGGATTTAGTAACAATAAAGAGTGGGTGAAAGTTTTGAATTTCAACATTTGATATCGGTCATTTGTGTAAAAACAATATATATTAGATTTCAGAGAAAATTATGGCGATATATATGTGATTGAATTCTTGTACTATATAGCTGAATTCGTAAAAGTGCTCGTTCTTATTTGTTATCAAGTTGCTATGTTTTCGTATTTCTTAAGTGTTCTTCAACTCTTCTTTTCATTTCGAACAAAACGAAATTTATAATCAAACGTTTACGTATAAATTTTTCATCAAACATGAAGAAATAGTAGTTACTAATTAGATTGTCCAAAAAAAAGAACAAATAGTAGTAGGCTTTTGAGCTGGCTGCTTTTATTGAAGGGCCTTGCCAACTTCAAAGACGAAGTAGATTGATGATAGATATTAACTTCTATCTCCATCTAACCAATAAATCAATCCTCTTTTCTGACCAATTTCGTTAGTTTATTACTACTACTTTATTTTATTTTTATGTATATACGGTTAAAACAGTAGATCATGGCTGCATATATGGCGTACATAACTCCAAAGATTAAGAATATTTGTTAGCATAGTAATGGATTTCCGGTAAAATAATAATAGTGGACGAGAACTATAAGCCGACAAGTAGTGTGACTATCTTTTTTTTCCATAAACATTTAAGTTTCTCTTCTAACCATAATGTGATTCGCTTCAATTTTGGGTTGGTGGAGCCGTATACACGCACTAATTAATTCATTTTTTTCCTCCATATGAAAACTATAGCGTGTGTGTGAAACAAAAGAAAATATATGCATGCTCTGATGCTCATCCTGCAATCTCTACAACAATAAAATTAACCACATTTGCGGATCAAAAGTTTCGTGTGGCAAAAGTTGTACGCATGTGTCTCGTGCAATAACGTTGATGAGGGAAACAAAAAGTAAATTTGAATGCCGTTGTCGTATTAAGGAAAATAAAGTCAAAGTGTTTCAACCACCCTGCATGAAAAATATCATAAAGTGCCGAATAGACGAAAGTAACAACGAGAAGATGGACCATGACATTAAATAAATGATCCACAAAACAAAATAATAGGAACCGCCGAATCCAATTATTGTTGGTAAAAAATCTAAAGGTTAATTAGGAAGTAATTATTAAGATCCATCTTCAGAAAATCTTTGATAAGACCATTATATAAACGAGAAGAAGTCTCGCTATAATCATATCTTCACCTTCTCCACTAATACTCTATATATCATATAGTTTTTTTGTTCTTCTTATAAACTTTATATTTTCAGCTAACGAAAGAGAATTGTGTCAGAAATCTCAGAGGGTGAGAATCCCAATGAGGATCTTACCCGAACCTCGAGGTTCGGTTCCGTGCATTCTCCTTCTCGTGTCGGTTCTCTTTTCAGCGACTCTCACACTCGCTCGTGTCGTCGAAGTTGTCGGGTACGCCGAGAGCAAGATCAAAACCCCCCACGCATTTTCAGGTAACTCATAACCACATTATTAACTTATATACTATATAGTTCCTTTTTTTTGTGAATATTTGATCAATGTGTGATATTATTTGTTATAGGACTCCGAGTGACGATCGACTGTAAGGTGAATAAAGGCCATTTTGTTACAAAAGGTTCCGGAAACATTGACGACAAAGGAAAATTTGGTCTTAATATTCCTCATGACATTGTCTCCGACGACGGAGCGTTGAAGGAGGAGTGTTACGCTCAGCTTCACAGCGCGGCGGGAACCCCTTGTCCGGCTCACGACGGCCTCGAATCCACCAAGATCGTGTTTTTATCCAAATCCGGGGATAAACACGTTTTGGGTCTCAAACAAAATCTGAAATTTTCACCCGAAATTTGTGTTTCGAAATTCTTCTGGCATATGCCTAAGTTGCCTCCTTTTAAGGGCTTTGATCATCCGTTCCCTTTACCTCCACCTTTGGAACTTCCACCGTTTCTCAAGAAGCCATGTCCACCTAAATTCAGCCCTCCTGTGGAGGTTCCACCTTCGGTTCCGGTTTACGAGCCACCGCCAAAGAAAGAGATTCCACCTCCGGTTCCGGTTTACGATCCACCGCCAAAGAAAGAGGTTCCCCCACCCGTCCCGGTTTACGAGCCACCACCAAAGGTGGAGCTTCCACCGCCTATTCCTAAGAAGCCTTGTCCACCTAAACCGCCGAAGATAGAGCACCCACCTCCGGTTCCGGTTTATAAGCCACCGCCAAAGATAGAGCACCCACCTCCAGTTCCGGTTTACAAGCCACCGCCAAAGATAGAGCACCCACCTTCGGTTCCGGTTTACAAGCCACCGCCAAAGATAGAGCACCCACCTTCGGTTCCGGTTTACAAGCCACCGCCAAAGATAGAGCACCCACCTCCGGTTCCGGTACACAAGCCACCGAAGAAGCCATGTCCGCCTAAGCCGCCGAAGGTGGAGCTTCCACCGCCGGTGCCAGTCTACAAACCACCAACGAAGAAGCCTTGTCCGCCTAAACCGCCGAAGAAAGTTGATCCACCGCCAAAGATAGTCATTCCACCGCCGAAGATAGAGCACCCACCTCCGGTTCCGGTTTACAAGCCGCCGCCGAAGATAGAGCATCCACCAATCTACATACCACCGGTAGTGATCCCGAAGAAGCCGTGTCCTCCGCCGGTACCAGTATACAAACCACCGGTGGTGATTCCGAAGAAGCCGTGTCCTCCGCCGGTACCAGTATACAAACCACCGGTGGTGATACCAAAGAAGCCATGTCCGCCACTTCCACAGCTTCCACCAGTTCCAAAGTTTCCACCTCTTCCTCCTAAATACATTCACCACCCCAAGTTCGGGAAATGGCCTCCGTTGCCTCCACACCCTTGAGGAAATTAAATACGTATATATATAGATATACGTATACTCATGTATAATCAACGTGTTGCCTTTTTAATACTTTATCTTTGAATGTTCTCTTTATATTTTGTTTCTTTTGTTGGCTTTCTCTCTGAGTTATCTATATGTGTAGACTGTTTGTTTATATTCCCGCAATCTTCCAACAATAATATGGTAATGATACGTTTCTCTTTTATCATGAGATGATCAACAAGCATTTTGCGTTAAAGAGTAGTCGGCAGAAAAAAACTTAGTGTTTTCGCAGAAACATTGTTGAGCTTGTAGTATATTTTCGTCACACAACGACAACATATTGGAGATGGTATAAAAAGGCAGATCTTTCATCAGATATATCCGCATAAGCCTAGTTTGATTTGCTCTCTACTGATTGGTGCCTGGTCACCTACCCATACGTTTGTCGACAGTCCAATAATAATCTGTCGACGAATAAATTCAATCTTCCAATTCATATAGAAAAATAATCATCATGTT